AAATCCACTTGGTCGTGATTAGAGCTCTTAAAAATGCAGTGATATCTGCTCTATCAGCAATAAATAAATGCAGCATTGATTTCTTTCACCAAACTGAACATTGTGTTCTTAAAAATCACAGGTCATCTGATTTTGATGATTCACTACAGGCAATCTAGCCAGCATGATTCAAGTGAACGTTTTCTGGCTCTTGCACTGCTGTTCGAAACATCACCTTCAGTATCCTTTCGTATACAAGCTCTTTAGCAGAGGTAGGTTTAATTTAGCTCTTATCCATATTTATAATGGTCCTCTAATCATCATTGAAAACAATACACTGAAGCTGACAAACTCTGTTACAAGAGCAATTCCAGTAAAATCAGTGGGATGTGCACCTGATTTAGGACTATTTCAAACACTGAGTGCTTGCTGACTCCATTCATGCCACATATTGTAAATATTGCTTACAGCTTTAATAAAAAAACCCACTCAGTTACACCACACCCAAAAAATAAAATAAAATATGTCTTCAAAAACCATGAGACCACTTTAAATCATGTATTATCTTTAACATAAAAGAAAAAGTTTACAGCTTTTTTCCCCCTTACTTTATGTTATCTTGGTATTTCTTCTATTCTTTAATGGTTAGAAACTCACTAATTACTTTTCCTTTAAAGGCAAGAGTCTTGTGTAAATACATGAGTTGGGGATTTAAGAAAAACTTGAATGTCACAGCACTGTATAATTTTTTAAATGTTTTGTGAAAAAATAAAAACAAATTCATTTTTTCTTCCATAAAATATATACTGCCAATTTCTGAATTAGACTACTTGATATGATAGTGGTTTTAACTTAATTTGAAGAAGAAAGGCATTCCAGAAGAAAAGCTTTATTCAGACATAGAAAATTGGCAGATGCTTTTTTTATGGGTTGATTGCATTTCGTTTTTTTTCTAGTGATGACTCAGGTTTTCCTTTTATTTATCCACCCACAATTCCTTTCTAAATGGCTTATTTTTATATTTTTAATGGAACACATTAATGAAGTAACACATTTTGCTAGACAAACCCTAATTTCTCCCCTCTCTCTTCCTCTCCCTTCCACAGTTAAAAAGCAAGCATGCCCCCAAAACAACATCACTGTTTATTGAAATGAAAGTCTTTAGGGTACTTTGGAAGCAGGAGACTTTGAAGCTTGAATGAGGTATTCCACTGGCAAGCTTTCAAACTTATTTGCAGATCAGGACCTCTTTTGTAGAAGTCTCCCCAGGAGGAAGGCAGTTAGACACCTGCCAGTAGCCTGCAGTGGCACCATCCCACTGTGATGTTAATGAGATGAATGAGAGCACTACGGAGAGCTGCAATAATTACAGGGTGAAGAGCTTGTCTTTTCCTGGCCCTCCTCTCTGGGCTGCCTGTTCTATAAAGCAGGGTCTTTTGTAATACTAATTACAAATGTTAATTAAACATTTCTTTGGAATTTTGCCCTCCATTAATAGGTCAGATAAACAGGGAATAGCAATGACAGGCACAAGTCATTATCGGCCACATGAGAAAAATACCATTTATTTGTTCCCTTCCTTTGGTGCCTCCAAAGACATAACTTCTATTTTCATTTTGCTTTATTAAAGAGACATTAAAACCACTGAACTATAGTGTTTCTGCACAGAAATAAAATAAAAATAATTTTTACAATACTGGACTTAAAGCTAGTTCTAATGCCCCTTCCTCCATAACTCACTCTAGTCTGTGTTGGCTTGACAAATTTTAAGCATAATCATGACTCTATCTCTAAGGCTACATAAACGCCCTTCCAAACACAGATTTAAGGAAATATTCATGACAGCTGTTGACGACAGCACAAAATCTAGTTTGACGGCTTGCTCTGGCATGAGCAGCACATGGCATTTCAAATCGTTGCACTAATCCCATTTCCAACCCAGTCCCTAGAATTACAGGAGTGACCCCTGCTCAGATCAGAACTGAGCACAAGCACTTGGCAGATATTGCCACAAAAAAAAAGCTCTACCCCTTGCCTGACAGTCTGCCACAGCCAGATGCTCCCATCAAGGCTCACATGGAGCAGTAATTTAATACATCAGCAATACTATCTATTTCAGTGAAATAACTTCTGGACCAGCTCATCTTACCTTTCTTATAGTTTCCATTGCTAAGGCACAGGATGGAACCAGACTAATTCCCAATTTCATCCCTTTAATATTTTTCTCAAATACGTATATGTGATTTCAAAAAGCATTTGATGAAACCAAACAGAAACAAAAATTAAGTCAAAAGGTACACTTCAAGAGCACAGCTAATGCATTCCAACAAAGATATAAAGGAACATCACTGGAAACATGAGAAGGATAAGAAGGGTTTCACTCTCAAGACTCATTCTACTGGGCCATGTCACTTGTGAATGTCCAATCATAGACTTTCTCTAACTTAATCCTATTTCTATTACCCTAAAATAAGAATTTTACATTTTTTTCACTTTGTCAGATAACCTAAAGCCGGGATCTTCTGTTTTGACAGGGAATGGAGACTAGTACAAAACTGAAAAATACATTATTTTCCCATACAGCTCCACTGCTTTGACAGCAGCCCACCACATGAGAAATATTGGTGAGACAAAGCTTATGGTATATGTCAATATCAGAAAATTCTGAAGGCTTACAACTCCAAGGTATTCTCCTGCATACTATTAGTAGCTATGGTATCCCTGGTCCTGGTCATCAGACTGCCTTCTTACTCACACACTCCTTCACGCCATGGACTTTGAAAATAGTCTGGTTTACAAACCACCTAAGCATGTCAAGACCTGCAACATAGTGTGGGATGGGCAGATACACAAAAAATGACCCAGGCTCATTTACAGATTCATAGAATTTACCAAAGTTTTGATTCTTTTATCACAGAAGTTTGAATAAGTTATTACCACACCAGCGCTGACAAGCTTTTATTTCACAAAGAAGGAAATGTGGCTGTGCAGAGCTCTAAGTACTCCCACAGTTTCCAAAAAGCCCCAAGATGCATCATGAGCCTAACTCTCTCCTCAGCAGCCTTCTATCGCCCACTTGCAAAGCAAAAAGGCAAGAGGGCTAAGAAAGCCCACGTCTCCCTAAGCCTATAATACTCCAAACAGCTGTTTTGCACTGTTACAGTCTCTGTGAAAATTCAGTCTCATGTACTTGGTTGAGTCAAATAATTGTTTTCTCCTACAGCTGCTAATCCAGGCGTACATTGCCAGCTCCAATGGCAGAGAGGCAAGGAAGTTACCTGGTCTAACACTGAAAGCACGGCTGTCAGCATCGAGACTGTTCAGAGCTCTTCAACTCTGCTGAAGATCACAATAACTAACGAAGTATCTTTTATATCTCTAGTAATCCATTTATCCTTGCTTATCACACCCACAATTCCAATTGTGTTTGCCATTATTCTAAAATGATTGTCAGGATCCTAAAACTAGCTTGCAGCTGAGGAACAACATGGAATTTAAGCAGAAAAGCCACAAATAAGATCAAGCACAACACAGACGCAAATAAGACTCTTGATAATCCACACTGATTTTTTAGCACAGGTCATTGATTTTTAGTGCAGAAATCTGTATATCAATCCATAGCTTCTGAATTAGAGTACACAGTTTTCAAAAGACATTAATTTTTGATAGAAAAGCTTCATTTGATATATTAGTCAAAGTATCATTTAATAGGTTGCTATAATGATAAAATATATCAATGATTAAAATTTACATTTTTAAAGTCTGAATTTATCTAATATCAGTTTCTGGACACTTGATTTTGTTACACCTTTTCCTTCTAAGATTAAAGAACCATAGTTTTCTTCTCATAGATATTTTCAGATCATGACGCAGTCACCTATCAACCTTATCTTTGATAAAGTAAGCAGATTGATTTTCTTAAAATCCCACACTGGAAGAGCATGGTTTTCTTATCAGAGAGAAGATATTAATTTATAGAAATTCTCTAAAACACTGTGATAGAGCTAGTTAGTTTCACAGAAAAAGAGTCATGCTTCCTCCTTTGTTTTTAAACCACGCTATAAAAATTAATACTGACATAGCAGGAAGCTGGACCTCCACAGCATTCACCAGTCTAAATTAACCTTTAATCCTATAATTTCTAAATTCTTCAAGGTAGCAAACAAAGCAGAAAGTGGATTTAAAAGCAAAATAGTTAGTATGTTTCAGTAGAAGGCACTCCAATGACTTCAATATGTCCACACCAGCTGAGGCTCTAGTTCTGAGACCAGTAGATATAAATCATAATGGCCCAAGCATAAGTCTGACTTAATAGGGAGGTACTACATTTATATATATAAATTATATATATATATATAAAAGGAAAATAAAATATTTTTTACTATTATAGTAACTAGTCTTCTAAAGTCTATTTTATAAGACTTTAGGAAACATACAAATTTCTCTACACAATGTGGCAGTTCCCATCTTTCTGTAGAAAACATTTCAGTCTCTATAAAGAGCTGAATGTTTCAGAAGCAGTTTTACAGACCAGTTATTTAGCTTCATTTCCATTACATTTTGCAAGATGCCATAATAACTTTGTGCTGAATGTGTGGCAATTTCTTCCATTTGATTTTGTAAGACACCACAATAACTGTTTGCCTAAAGTATGGCAATTTCCTCGGAAATCACTTTTCACTAGACAAGACTTTCATCATGCCAGGGAATGTACCAGCACATTGCAAAGCCATGTCAAGCGTTTACCAACTATGACATCAGATCAGATGTATTAACCTAACTCCTCTGTCTTTCAAGTCTGTCCCAGAAGGCCATGTCATATTCATGCCAACCTTAACTTCTGTCAGTGTGATTCTAAGGAGTCTTAACTTTTAAGATGAGTTGCTACATTGGATTACTGCTTTGAACCCAGGTCTTTGAATCAAAAAGATCTACACCATTGACTATGTGCAGCCCAGGGTGTACTTTGAAAGTCAAGCTTTCATTCCTTCTGTATTTACCTCATTTTGGTTTGCATTGCAGGACAGTTTCAGAGTTGTTGATCTACAACCCTTTTGGATGAAATCAAGCCAGAAGATGTGTTTCAGAGCTGGTATAAAGGAACTTCCCCACAAACACTTATAGGGTGGCCACGAGGTTCTGCTCTGCAGATTCACTTGCTGATACAGACATAGCTTTTCACTTATTTTGTCCTTTTTTCATCACTTTCATCTGTCAAAATAATCTGAGAGAGAAACACTTTGGAATCAGCTGTTTGTAACTGGTTTATATGTTTCTCACTTTCCAGCATGGTTATAAGGTAGTTTGAATGTATTCAGCCTAGTGTATACAAGTGCCTTTGGGTATAGAAGGCTGAAGAAGCAGGAATTGCTGTTTAAAGAGGGAAGCACTTCATGCATGTGCTCAATTTTTCATAGAATTTTTTAGTGTGATACTTACTATGAATGCATGGTTTATTCTGTCAGTGGTCTGTGGTTAACACTCCCTATACACCTACTGGCATGATAAACTGTAATGACTTCATAATAAAGTTAAAAGCCCAACATAAATGCAAAAGAGCAAGGAATTTCAGAGGTAAGATTTGAATTTCATCCCTCACCCTTATTTGTACTGGAACATTATGAAACAGCGATATCCTAGTTTCTTTAGGCACAAATACAGAAAATATAAGAACAGTAATATAAACAGTGAAAACTGTGTATGTTGCTTTGTTGCTTTTTCTTGTATCTCAGTGATAAATGCACCACTTCATAATGAGCCAGGGTTGAAATAATTTGATACATTTTTGGAAAAAAAAAATTCTAGTTGATGATTTGCACTACTGAAGAACATGTTAATAAAAGAAGGATGTCAGACAAGATATCACCAATTTATACTGAGTTGTGGTGTCTGTGACATAAATGCCATGAAAGAGCTCTGGAGTTTTGGTTGTCTTATTTATTTGGGGTGTTTGTTTACTTGTTTGGTTTTTTTCTGAAGAAACAGTAGTATACATTAAAGAAAGTCTCACTTAAGATTTTTCCATTTTGCCTTCCCCTTTCACCTACAGACCTAATGCTCTGGCAAAAGGTTATGCAAAACATAGGCTTACTTATTGATCGTTAGCATAAAAAGAGGATTTGGATACCAGCATCTGCCAGTGAGTACTACCAAAAGCATGACTTTACAAATTGAACTTAGATGCCTTGCTTTCTATTTGCATGACCTAGGAAGCTTTCTGCAGTTTTCAAAAGCAAGGAGCAAAATGCCAGCTAAAATTCAACAGCTCTGCAGGTACTCAGCATTTTCCAAAATCAGAGCCAAATCACATTACTTATATTGAGTTAGGATCTTGGTGTCCAATCTTTTGCATAACTTTCCAGCTCACCTCTGCAGTCTGATTCCCCACCATATAACTTTCTTGCTGAAAATGAAAGACAATGTTTTTTCTACCTTTTTTACTATATCTGATGCTGTTGGACAAGATTCTTCTGACCTATTATGAAAAGCTTCCAAATTGCTGGAAGGGAATTTGGCTGAAAGATTCCCACTAAGTGCTCATGCAGTGATTTGAAATTTTGCCTGTGAATGATTAGAGAGTGGTTATATGAATAAAAGAAAATCTAAATATCGGGATGTGGGGGATTCCAACTCCCTGGAAGATACAATTTATAAATTCTTATGTATTATATTCCAGTCATTCATATACCTTTGGTGCAAAACTGTTTGGTTTTTTGGCTGATATGATAGATAATATTCTATTACTGTAATAACATTGAATTCTACAATTGGTTATTTGAAAACATCATTTCTAGAACAGTCTATAAATCTTTCAACAAGTATTTTCATAGGAAGAAGGTTCATTGAGGATATAAAGTCCCAGAATTTTATTTGAGGTAGGAATTTTCAACTTAAAGTCTGAAAACTTTCAAAATTTAAGCCAATTTTTAGTTCTAAATTTTCAGATGAAAAGAAATTGTATTCTTTTAGGGCAAATGCATTTTCCATACTGCAAAATAAATGAGGGGAAAAGATATTGATATTGTTGATCATTCTGTGTAGGACATCACAGTTTTGAAGAAACACCAAGCTGAATGATCTTTTTACAGTAGTTCATTTATTGTCAGAATAATTCAGAATTATGACGGTGTGCTCCATCCTGCCCTCCCAATCTGATCTGTATTTCCCATAACTCTGTTCAACTCATTACCACTAGTGGTGATGGCAATGGATGTGTCTGGTTGTGATGACTGCATCTGACTCACTGTGGATTCAGGGGAGAGAGATAACACAATAGTCAAGGGCTAATCTAAGCAATAGCCACTGCCCCCACTTTTTTACTCTATGCAGTAAAAAAGCAAATGCACCTTGTCATTGAATCTTGTTAACAACACACACCCTTACTTCCCCTAACCATAATACTGATCAAACTGACTCAAGTCAAATTTGGAAGAAATTAATCTCTGTAGTCAGTATGAAAATATGTCTATAAGTCAGTTTCTAACTCCATACGTAGCAGAAAGTACAAGACCTGTTCAGCTCTCCTGCTAAACAGAAGTATCCCCCCCTGAGTACAGATGCCTCTCAAAGTTACTCCTTGAGGCTGAGAGATTCCTTGCTGCAACAGATTCTCAGTGATTAATAATGTGCTAAACTTGGAAATCTTAGCTAACTAATACAAATGATTGATTATGCATATGTAATCCTTTAGACATAAACCATTGACCAAGTTGGGTCTAAGCCTGGATCCAAACACAAAGGAATTCAGAGCCCAAGGGGGTCGTTTTTGAACCTCATGACTCAGTCAGAGGGTCTCCCTGATAATTGTGCCTAACCTTGTCTCTATGCAGCAAGTAATCAAATGGACCTTGTCCGTAACTGAATCTTGTTAACATCTGTCACATTTACTATCAAACCTCGTTAAAGCTCTATTTATATCTATAAACATACTGCTACTTCTCTCTCACAAATAAACTGTGTCACATCATCCACAACAAGAATTACATACATAATTCTTCATATTAATTCAGCCCATGAAATTCTGGCCGGAGATAGAATAATGAAAAATTGTTTCAATTCACTCAGAGATTCGAAGGCAAAATCATGCAGAATAGGGTTATGATAGGAAGAGACCTGTGTCTTCAGGAGAGCTCTTCAAGGCTCTTTCCACAGCTAAAAGATTTCTTTAGTTGGTGCATTGAGGAAATTTGCCTTAAATTTATCTTTTCCCAGAATATTTGGGGAAGAAGCTAAAAGCCTTTGTTCTCAGAGAAATGCAAGAGCTGCAATTACACCAAGCCTCTTATGGAGTATCCTGGTGGGAAGAGGGCCTTTGTGCAATGTCCTTTTCCGCACATCCAAGCAGAAGTTAGGCATAATACATTTCACAATGAGGATGCTGAATTCCCCTGCTACTTCAGCAGAACAAATCAGGATGCATACTTCCATCCTGCATATCAGGATAAAAGAGATCAGTGCTGGAGACAAGAGAGAAATTAGGTAAACTCTCTGTAGTGAGAAAAATGTGATGGGGAAACCCCATTGTCTGCTGAAGAAAATTCACTGTTCTTTCTGTCAGAAATTAAATCTTATGATTATCAAATACGCTTGATAAACAGAATTTTATGGCTAGGAACTTTACTTCTTTCTGCTATGTGCTGGACTCCTGTCCATTTGAAGACAAAGCAGGTGATGTGAAGTAACTTCAGAGAGCTTTACAGCTGCAGTGAATGACAAAGCCATAGGAAGGGATTGGGACTCAACCATTTGCATTTAATTGCTGAACCAAAAAGTACAGTTTGTATACCCACAGGTCTTCAGCCTGGATATATGGGAAGAGATAAACAAGACCATGTTGTGAAGACCTGAGTAGAAATTAACAAACTCTGATTCCAGAGTGGAAATGCATTTGACATTATTGCAAGGCAGGAGAGAGTGGCTTTGTACTAGGCTGGAATGGTATCATTTCAGTGGCCTAATGGTGACCTTTGGGTGGAGCCCTGACACTGGGTCTGTGTGAAGGTCTTTCCATGAGATAAAATGAGATGCAACCACTAAAAAGAAGAGATGCCAAGCCACAGCCCATCAGCTTACTCCTGACTTTGTAGCAAGTTGAGTGATGGTACAGTGGATATGGTATCTCCGCAGAAGTTCACCTCTTATCCTAACTTGGAGCCTCAGATGTAAAGCAGTGCTGAACTTCCAATTATTATTACACCAGCACAAAAGCCATTGCCTCAAGAGGCTCTAATTCTCACTCACTACAGGTCCTGGGCCCCACACAGAGACCAAAATTAAAGATGACTAAGCTCTGCCTTCACCCCTCAGGAAGTAAATCTTAGAATGACCACCAGGGCAAACTGACACATCAGAAGGAAATGTAGCCTGACAGGGCCAGCACTAACGACATCTCAGGGATAAAGAAAGGTCTGTCTCTACTCTACAGAGCTATTGACCCACTGCTATGCAACAGCATTGAATTCTCCCCTACCTGAGCAGCCTAGGTAATCACAAGCAGAGTTAAGAAGCCCTTCCACGCTAGCCCCAGAGTTCAGGATTGGGGTGAGAGACTTCTGTGATTTTGATCTTATAGGAGTGTTTTCATATGTAATGTTGAAATCACACCCTAATAAGTATTTCAATTCTCACTAAAGGTGGAAAAAATACCAAAAATATGTTTTTGCTGTTTTCATCTGCAGGCTGCTCTGTCAGAAGCAGCTCTAGTTTTTAGTGATATGGGAAGTTTGGGTCACTATCCTGTTTGCCCTTTGTCAGACAGAAAAAATTCAGAATCTGTTGTCTTCTCTCTCCTTTTTTTTTTCCCTCCTTTTTTTTTTCCTCCTTTTTTTTTCTTTCTTTGAACAGTTTGAATGGCAGACTAAAGAATAATCCTGTTCACAGCTAATGTGCAGTAACAGGATTGAGCAAAAAAACTGACTTAAGAAGCTTTCATCTGGGTCAGGACATATTGATACCATATTTCAAGATATACGCTCCTCACTCTTGTGTAGAGATAAATGTTTCAACTGTAGCCTTTAAAAAAAAAAAAAAAAAGAAAGAAACACAAAATGCCACCACCACACTCTAATGACACAGTTACTGAACTATTAGACTGTGTGAAACAATTTCCACCCACATTTGCTTTCATCACAGATTATGCAGTACTGCAAACTACTCAAAATAAAATGCTTCCTTCCTATACAAAACCAGCTATGCAAACGGTTTATTTTCACTGCTTCTGAGTGCCTAAAGAACAAGACAAAGTCACTATAACAAATTGTGCCTGTCATAATGTCAGAAGAAAAGGAACACTTTTAGGCCACTGCCATCTCTGACAGCCACTGATCCAGTCATCTCTCTGGGACAAGACAACTTATGTGTCCCTCAAAGTCTCTTCTACACCAGACCACTAAAGCCATTTCATTAGTGGGTATCAACACCATAGCTTTTATCTCTCACCAGTTTCTTTTCTTCCAATAGTGACAACATGGGTCTTTCAGAAAATGACATCAAGGGAATCCAACAAGATCTAATCCCACAGTCTTCAATTTCCTGTAGAATGCCAGATATGAGTGATTCTTTATTATTTCTTATTACAGTTCTAAGTATCAATTATGATTAAAAGAAAAAAAGTAAGAAAATAGTAGCTGTTAAGCTGGCTGTTATAAAGCAGATAACTTTACCAGCCCAGCTTATAAATGGCCTGAGCCAGCTTTTCAGAAGCCTTACTATCAGTCTTGCATAGCTTGCACAATAACAGACCCGTATTATAAATTTACTTTGACTCTAATGTCAAAGTCTTAAGAGTAAATTCGGCTCTTGCTTGTGTATGTGTGTATGAAGAACTCATCTGGTTTGAGTGATGTTGAACCTTCTCATGTAAGGTTTAAATTTATCTAACCCAACCATCTTTTGAAATCAGGGCCTTGTATAATGTTATGCAGGTACCTGTCCATTAGAGTATCTAATATTTCCAGTGAACATAATCCTACCATTTCTCTGTGCAACATATGGG